TAACAGATAACCAGAGTTGGAAGGGACCTTGTAGGTCATCTAGTCCAACCCCCTGCCCAAGCGGGAGACCCTACAGCATTTCTGACAGATGCCAGTCCACTCTCTTCTTGAAAGCCTCCAGGGATGAAGCTCCCACAACTTCTGAGGGCAACTTCTTTTCCATGGGTTGATTGTTCTCACTGTCAGAAAGTTTCTCCTTATTTCCGGGTTGAATCTCTCCTTGTTCAGTTTCCATCCATCGTTCCTTATCTGGCCTTCAGGTACCTTGGAGAATAGCTTGACCCCCTTCCTCCTCCTCTCTGGGGCAGCCCCTCAAACGTTGGAAGGCTGCTCTCCTGCCTCCCCTGGTCCTTCTCTTCCCTAGACCAGCCATGACTCCAGTTCCTGCAACCGTTCTTCTTCGTATGTTTCAGCCTCCAGTCTCCTCATCATCCTGGTTGCTCTTCTCTACACTTAGCAACTGAAATGTTGAGCTCAATCCTGCTGTAACTGGAGGACTAACTGGATTGTTTCCTTCCTCTGCCCGGCAAGGAGGGCACCCCAGAGGGGCAGCTGGGACTGTCAGGCAGCCTCCCCTTGTCCTCTTCCGGGGAGGGAAATCAGCCTTGTGAAGGTTTTACTTGCCCGGCTCAAGAGCAGCTATAAAGAGGATGGCGTGTTGGAGGAGGAAAAGGGGACATTTTCCCAAATAATTCCCTGAATGCTAGAGCAGAAAGCTGGGTTGGGCTTACATTGGCAAGGGGAGATGATATTATACAATCATTAGAGATGATATTATACAATCATTATGCGTCACTTCTACAGTCACCCAGCCAGCTTTCCTGCCTAAGGCAGGACTAGAACTCACAGCTTCCTTGTTTCTAGTCTGGTGCCTTGTTTAAAAATAAACAAACAAACAAACAAACCTGGCATTCGGTTTCTCGGATTCCTGCCTTCCTAGTCAGGCAGTTTTACTTCTTGAAAGTTAATTCAAAGCAGGTTTCGTTCTTGCACAAATATCTGACTCACTATTTCTTGATTGCAGATGGAGTGATACTCTCCCGGTTATTGGTTATTGGTTCCCACAATGGTGTGTATTGAGGTGTGTGTGTGTGTGTGTGTGTGTGTGTGTGTGACAGAGAGCACAACATGTTTCTGCGGGGTTGAGTCATATTTTCTACTTCCTTGAGCCAAAACACACACTGTTGTGAGAAAACATCGCAAACGTGCTGAGAAGTGATAGAGAAAGCGGAGTCATCGATTCCATCACAAACCACAAACATAACACCCTGTTTTTAACTCAGAAATAGGAAACCCATCGCGGGCCTGTTTTGTTTCTATCCATCCCTTGCGTCGGGTTCCACTCGCCTCGCCTCCCTTACGGGCAACATTGTGCAAACTCGAGCAGGGAGGAGGATGGGAGTTTGAGGCGCTGGTTCCATGCTTACGGGAACCCATCGGGCCGGTGAATCATCTGAAGTCACCTGAGAAAAAGGAATCAAAAGAGACCTGCAGGCATTTCAAAACTGAAAGTCCTGCCAGTAACTTTCGGGAAAGGCTGGATTTGCCTCGGGGCATGGAAAGCGACTTGGAGGACACCGCTTGGCAAGGCTGGCACCAACGCACGGAGGGAGATATATCTTTATAGCCATTATGGGGAATTCTGGGAACTGAAGTCCATCCCTCTTCAAGTTCACTAGCACAGGGGTCTCCAACCTTGGCCACTTGAAGACTTGTGGACTTCAACTCCCACAATTCCCTCCGCTCCTTGCAGTCCACGCGTCTTCAAAGTGGCCAAGGTTGGAGAGCCCTGCACCAGCATGCCGGCTGGGGGATTCTGGGAGTTGAAGTCCACTCTTCTTAAAACCTCCAGAAAGAGTGGTTTAAAGAGACGTTTTTAAACGATTCTTGCGTCCTAGCCCGTCTCAGGGGTAAGGACCCCCTGCCCGGCCTCCCCTGGCATTTCCAGCAACCTTGGGCCCCAGGAATGGGGCCCCTGATGCAGGCCCTGGGGGGGGGCTCTCCTGTGGCTTTGCCCCTCTGGGGCCACCTGTTCTGCCCCAGGACAACTTTTTGCCTTGATCAAAGGCGTCCCAAGATCAGAACCCAGACGCTTGGCAACCGTCTCCTACTTACGGCGGTGGCGGTGTCCCAGAACCAAGCGATCCCCTTTTGCGACAAGCAAAGTCAGTAGTGAAGCTGGATTCATTTCGTGACCATCTTGCTTACTGAACAACTGCAGCGATTCATTTAACAATGGCAGCAGAAAAGGTTGTAAAATGGGGCAGAACTCACTAAGCCTAGTTTGGGCTCCGTTGTGGTCATAAGTCGAGGACTCCCGTAGGCTGCTTGGTGGGAGGCCTCCAGGAGCTCCCAAAAAACGGCCCTCCTTCCACTCGTCCTCCGGAGGCCTTTGGGGTACTCCCAAACCTGGGTCGGACAGCAAACCCCCCCTTGAGGTCATCTAGCCCACCCCTCTGCCCCGGGCCGGAATCCTCCGGCCACCCAGGCGAAGGGCTGCCTCCCCTCCCTCCAGCTGCTGGTCGGGAAAGGCCCGCAAAGTAGCCCGGGAAGGCGGCGCAGGGAGCGCCCGGGGGAGGCAGCGCCCCACGGCAGCGGGGCGGAGCAGGGGGCGGGGCCGCCGGTATATCTGCGCCTCCCGGCCGCCGCGCCTCAGTCGTCGGTGCTGCTCTCGGCAAGCGAAGCACGACTAGGCGCCGCCATGAGCTCCATGCTGGACGTCCGGAACCTCTACCAGGTGAGCGGCCGGCCGCCTCCGAGCCCCCCGACGGCTCGCCCCTGCCTCTGGCGCCGGGGAGCGGCTTGGGGGCAGCCGCTGTGTGCGCGGCTCCTGGGCGCGGCTTTGGATCTCGACCGGGAGCTCCGTCGGACCCTCGGGGGGGGGGGGGGGGGGTGGGGGGGGGGGGAGGCACCTCTCCCCGGCGGCCCCCGTTGGAAGCCCCCCTCGGGGCCGCTCTCCTGCCGCCGAAAGCTCCCCGGAGGGGCGCGGGGACGGAAGCCTTTCTGGCTGGGCATCGCGGGCTTTGTAGTCTTCCCTGTAAGGGCCGGCGGGGGGGGGGGGGGGCGGTCCGGACCCCCGGTAGGGGGGGAAGGGGCCGCCGGGGCTTCCCTCCAAGGGAGCCGGGCGCTGGGCAAGAAGGCCGGGCGGGTGGGCCATTTTCCGGGCTTGGACAGCCTGCGGGTGGTGGAGCGACCCCCGCCCTTCCCTGGGCCCGAGAGAGCGGAAGAGCCGCTTCCTCCCCGGCCGAAGAAGAGGAGAAAAACAGGAAGCGCCGCTCGGCTCCTTTTCTAGGTCAAGGGGTTGCGTCGCCGACGACGCCGCTTCTTCCCCGCCCCGGCTCGGGGCTTGGCGGGCGGGCGGGGGGGGCAACAACGGGCCCCACTTCGCAGCCTCCCCCGAGCCGCCTTTCCCAGTCGGTGGGCCGGAAAAAGGCCGCTCCCGACGGAGTCCCCCCCGCCCAGTTTCTTATGCTGAGGGGGGGGCAGCCAGGACCCTCACCCAGCCCCGCGTCTTCCGGGGGTGGCGGGTGGGCTGAAACCCCCTTTCGGGATCCAGGGATCCGGGCGATCTGGGATTGCAGCCGATGCCATGAATAAGAGGCCAACTCTTCTCCCTCGCCTGCTGTCAAAGAGGAGGGGGTCCCCCTGTTGATCGGGGGGGGCGAGAGGTCGGGGGGCAGGGGAGGGGGGGGGGGCGGGGGGGGGGGGGGAGGGGGGGGGGTCTGGGCGGCCCTTTTTGCGAGGTGTTGGGGGGCTTCGCTGCCTTCGCCTTGGGGAGTTGCCTCGCGGCGGTCAGATCCGGGTATTCTTGGCTTGGGGAGGGGGCGGCTCCCCCTCGAACTGCACCCCACAAGGAGCGGAGGGGGGGCAAACCCCACCCGGGCAGCTTCTCTAAAGCAGCTTCAAAATAAATCCAGGCAACCTGAGGTTTAGAGGTCTTTAAACCAGGTTTAAGGTTTCTCCAGGAAGTTGGTTAGTCTTAAAAGGTGTTTTCGGTTTCGACACTCGCTCGGATATCGCCCGGGTGTGTGTGTGTGTGTGTGTGTGTTTTCCACCCCGTGCACGTTTGTGTAAGGTGGGAAAGCACCTAGCAAGTAGGTTTTGTTGTCAAGCAGGATTTTTGAACGATGACTGCAGTTTTATTATTTGAGGAGTGTCTGTGAACAGTTTGGCCCTCGGTTAAAAAGCAAATTTAGTGGAAAGCGATTGTTTTAGCCTGCATAAAATGGCGCGGGGGGGGGGGGGGAACGGAATCTTTCTTGCGGGGGGAGATCGACTGGGGTCTTGTGTGAGTTGTTCTGCCTTCCTTCCACAAGACGTGTGGAAGGGTTTTCGGCCATCTGGCGCCCTGTCCTTGGCAAGCAGCCGCCGTGCCTGTCAGAGGTGGAAGGTTTTGTGACCCCCCCACCCCCCCCACCCTCCCCCACCCCCCACCCCCCCACCCCCGCTCTCTGGTTTAGAGTCGCCCCCAGCAGCTGTTCCCCTCCGCGGCTCTGGTTAAAAATAACTGCAGCCCAGCCCACCTGCGCTAGACGAAGGCTGCTGACGTCACACCTACAGCCACTGCTTGTTCACCCACTGCCTTCTCTTTCTGAGCTTCCCCGTCAGCCGGGGGGGGGGGGGGGGTTCCAGGGGGGTCTCACTGGACAAGAACGGGTGGAAGTCACAAGCCGGGCAGGCGCGGCAGATCGTCCCAAGGGAGGGGCTCCAGGCTTAGGAAGGAGGCCTCCTTCGGGGTCCTGAGGCTTGGCGAGGGGGGTTGAGGTGCTGCCCCCCCCCCCCCAGCCAGGGCGCTTTTCTCCAGCAGCGGTTGAGATTCTGCTCTGCGCAGGTGCAAAGGTTGCGCAAGAGTTGGGCGCGCTCTTTGCCAGTTCCTGCCAAGGGATTAGTGGGACCTTTGCGCCATGTGGAGCCTTCGGCCCGGTCTCTAACCTCTCCCGCTTCTCTTCTTCCCCCTCCGCAGAACCTGCTCAACCTCTCGCTGAGCGAAGACCTGGACGCGCCGGCCTCCGGCTTCTCCTGCGGCCTCTCGGCCTGCTCCTCTGAGGCAGCGCTGCCCGGCAGCGGGGACTCGGCGCTGTGGCCCCTGCGCAGCCCCTGGAGCCCCAAGGGCGAGCAGCCGCGGCCACCCTTGCGCCCGGACCGCTCGGTCAGCCTGATCGAAGGCAAGGCGGCCCACCCGCTGCCGCCGCCGCCGCCCGGCTTCCCGCCGCTCAAGCAGCCCGGCCTGCCCACCCCGTCGTCCCGCTACAAGACGGAGCTGTGCCGCACCTTCAGCGAGAGCGGCCGCTGCAAGTACGGCGCCAAGTGCCAGTTCGCCCACGGCTCGTGCGAGCTGCGCTCCGTCAGCCGCCACCCCAAGTACAAGACGGAGCTCTGCCACAAGTTCTACCTGCACGGCGAGTGTCCCTACGGCTCCCGCTGCCACTTCATCCACTTCCCCGAGGAGGCGCAGGTCTTCGGCAGCCACGGGGCCAGCGGCGCCTCCCCGCAGCTCCTCCGCCAGAGCGTCAGCTTCTCCGGGGTGCCCACCGCCCGCCGCGCCTCCCCGCTGCCCGGCCTGCCCGACCCGGCCTCCTTCGCCCGGGCGCCCTCCGTGTCGCCGCCGCCACCTGCCTCTGCCGCCGAGTTCCTGTCGTCGCCCTTCGACCGCCTGACGCTGGACCCGCTCGCCCTGGTCTCGTCCTTCGGGGGGGACTCGCTGCTGGCGGCCCCCGCCGGAGGCTGCTGCTCCTGCCGCTGCGGGAAGCTGGCCGGCGGGGGCACCTCGTTCCAGAGCCACCGGGACTATTTCTCGGCCGCCCCCGGGACGCCCCCATCGGCCCTGCCCAGGACCCCCTCCGCCAACTCGCTCTCGGACCCCGACTGCTACAGCAGCAGCAGCAGCCTCAGCGGCTCCGACTCCCCGGTTTTCGACCAGCACCCCGTCGGCGGGCCGGCGGGGACCCCTCACCGCCTGCCCATCTTCAACCGGCTTTCGGTCTCGGACTGAGCACCGGACGGGACGCTTCCAGCTTGCTGTCGATTGCAAGGGAGGGGGCCGCCCTCTGGATGAGATCCCTTCGGAGGGGGGGGACCCCAAAGTCCTCCCCCCTCCCCAACCTGAACTGATGCCAGCTGCTTTTCGGGGGCTTCTCTTTAAGCCCTCCTCTTGCCTGTTCTTTTTTTTTGGGGGGGGGGGGGGGGGGCTTTTTCTGCTCCCCCCCTCCCCGCCTTCCCGCCCCGGGGGGGGCGGGGAGGGGGGGGGGGGGGGGTGTCCAGAAAGCAAACGGGGTTCCAGCCGATTCCAGTTTCCCTTTCCCCACTTAGTGCCTTAAACGGAGTCTGCAGGGGGACTCCAGATCGAGCAGTTATGCCGAGGGGTGGGCCAAATCCTTGCCCCCCTCTCCCTCCCCGAGTGCCTTACGGCTGTATGTATGTGTGTGTTTTGGGGAGTCAGAAAGTTGGGCCTTTGAACTGTCTCAAAAATCACCTTTCAGGGAGCCAGGAAGCCAAGATGGGGAGTCAGCTTGATTTCCTCTCTGGTTTTGCGTAAAACCCCTGGCTGGCTTGAGCTGTGCTGAGAGGGGCAGTGGGGCGGACCAGCCTCCCTCCCTTAAGAAATTCGACCGTAAGGAGGTTGGTCCCTTTCTAGGGGTCACCCCCGCCCCCAGCCTGGAAAAGTCTGCAGAGAAGTGCAAACAAACAAAGGACCTGTCTTGCTCTTTCTGCTCACAGGGTGTTTGCAAACTTCCATCACTTGCAGATGGTGGGACTTCAACCCCCAGAACTCCACCCATCTTCAGGTGACAGGCGCTGATCTAACACCTGAGCATTATGCCAAAGATTAACTGTCCCAGGGAGAAAAGGAAGTGTACTTGTATGTAGCAGCTTTATTTCTTTTTGAAAAAAATTCCTCCATTGTTAAGCGGGGGGGGGGGGGGGGGGGGGGGGGAATCTCACACCACAGAAGCCGGTCCAGGGAAATACGACTTAGATGACGTTCTGGCAACTGTTAATGTATCTTTTTTTTTTTGAAATCATGCTTTATACTGTGAATATTCTCCTCTTATCTAGTCCTCCAGCATGAATAGGTTGAGAATGAAGGAGAGGTGCTGAGTTTTATCTTTTTTTTTAATCCCTCCGCCCTGCCACGCCCTCTGGAGCTTTTGAAATCACGGCAGTGTTTCCCCCTTGGGGTGCTCTGAACCCCAAAAATTCTGCATCCCCTTGGGGGCAAGAGGGAGGCTGTTTATCACTCTTCGTCTCCTCCCAAATCCCTCTGCCAGCTGCCTAGGTGTGAAATTGTACCGTATTGGAAAATTTGAATCGGATTGACTACTTCCTTGCTCCAGTGGGGTGAAATTCACACAAAGCTTCACCTTGGATTGATCAAAAACAAAATCGAGCCAAAATTGTTCATCCCTGTTCCATCGGAAACTCAGACCTGAACCAAACTGGGTGTCCGATAGTTCTCCCATACTACTCCACATTGACAAATTCCAGAACGTGTACTTTCTTCCTTGGTCCTCCAAGGAAATACTTCGCCCACTCTCCAACTCCATGAAATCGAATTTCTGGGAATTCTGCTCCTCCAGCCCCACGTATGGGGGGGAGGATTTGGGACTGGCCAACCAGAGGACAAATGTTTCTGCCGGCGTCAGGAATAAAACTTGTTAGTGACCACAAAGGCCAGGACCCACAGCGAGGAAAATGGTGCCCTGTTGCTTCAACCTCAGTTAAATTAGACATTTTGCACTGATGGAGACCAGTTGGGGTGGAGGGAAGGAGGTGGGAGGAAGGATGCCTTTTGTTTCTAAGCCGATGTCCATGCTGGTCACACCTCCATGTCATTTTTGTGGTGGGTGTTGTTGGTTTTTTTTAATCCTCAAATGTTTACCTTGTAATAAGGCAATAACCGAAACCAAACTATTTATAGAGTCTATTTATTCAAAAAGAATTTTATATTGTATTTATCTTTTTTTTTAAATATTCCAGAATAATATATATATATATAAAATATCTATATTTTTGTGTGTAAACTATGAGCAAACGAGATTGTCCTACAGTTTTGAAATGGTTCCAAATGCTAGCTTTTTTCCTCTGCTGGAAAAAGAGACGTTGCTATTTCTTCTCCGAATCTCCAAAAGATAAATGGTGCAGCCATTCCTCAGTTAATAATAAATCTGAGATCCGAACATCTTGTCTGCTCTTGTGGTCTGTGCTTGTTCAGAAGGAGGTCTTGAGAAATAGTTTCCTACTTCAATCAAACAGAATAAGAGCTGGAAGGGACCTGGGAGGTCTTCTAGTCCAACCCCCTGCCCAAGCAGGAAACCTTGACCTATAGTACCATTTCTGGCAAGTAGCTGTCCGGTCTCTTCTTAGAAACCTCCAGTGACGGAGAAGCTACGATTTCTGAAGGCAAAGCTGTTCCACTGGTTTAAGTCTCCTCACTCTTAGGAAGTTTCTCCTTAGTTTCCACCTGTCCTTTCTTGTCTTGCCTTCTCCTGCTTTGGGAAATGAGTTGACCCGCTCCTTCTTGTGGCAACCCCTGAGATCCTGGAATGCTGCTATCGTGTCCGTCCCCCCCCCCCCCTCCGTCTTCGTACCAGGCTGGCCAAACCCAAATCCTGCAGCCCTTCTTCCTGTGTTTTTTATCTCCAGGCCTTTAATCATCTCAGTTGCATTTTCTCCAATGTCTCAACATCTTTTTTTGGGTCATTTGGAAAGCAAAACAGGATGCAGGATTCCAGGTGCAGCCTTACTAAATCAGCGCTAATACTTTGCACGAATACTTTGGAAAGAAATCTCAGTCAAGTAGAGCATGTGTCATATTCAGGTGGGATTTCAATCCTGGGCACATCAGATGCCTGAAGGGAAAAAAAAAAAAAAAAGGTGGAGGAAGGGAATCCAGCAAGGGACGCACCCTAAAAGGGAATGGAGAAATGTTGAGGGTTGGGGAACTCCAGTTTTCGGTGAGCCAGGAATTGCAAAAAGGATCTTTCTAAGTTGCTGCCAAGACTTCAGCTTGCAGAGAAAAAGAGACACGTCACACCGTCCCCAGTTCAAATAAAACAGCTGCGAGCTGCAATAATAAAGCACCCGATGCCTCCTGCGTCAGCAGCTCTCCAGGCAAAGCAGGGTGGGGCGCGAACACATTCCTGCACCCAGTGGAGTCAGCTGACAAGGGTGCCTGAAAAGGAACAGCCGTATTAGGGTGCCTGGACTGGGAGAACCAGTTGGCTGGCTTCCCTGGCTGCGGCTCCTGGCCCGCTGGGTGGGCCTCCAAGGTGGCACCTCCTGGGCAAGAGCGCCTTGTGGCTTGCCAAGTAAACAAATCGGGCACGCCCTGGATACGGTTGAGTTCCAGGTGCTCCTTTTTCGCTTTTCAAGTCCTGCAGTACTCGGTGGGCAAAACCCAGACGAGGCCCGAAGGTGCCTTTGAGCCCTACAGAGGATGTTTGTCTACCTTTGGTTTTCTTTTCTGTGCTCCGTCGCTGGAGGTTTCCGAGAAAAGACGCTAGAGAGTCCTTTGTCCCCAGGCTGACTGATGGCTTTTGACCCCCAAGCAGAAGGAAGTTTTGGGGAGCCAACCTAGAATTAGGGAGGAATGTCTGACAGTGAGAACAATGAACCAGGGGAAGGACCTCCCTTCCGTCCTGGAGCTCTTGGAGAAGAGATCGGTCAGCTCTTTGTCTGGAATGGCACAGGGAAGGGGTGGCCAACCTTAAGATTGTGGACTTCAACTCCCACAATTCCCCAGCCAGCTACTGGGGGAATTCTGGGAGTTGAAGTCCACAGGTCTTAAAGTTGCCAAGGTTGGACACACCCTGGCATGGGGTCTCCTGCTCAAGCAGGGGGTTGGACTAGAAGACCTCCAAGGTCCCTTCCAACCAGTGGTGGGATTCAAATAATTGAACCCCCGATTCTCTGCCCTCATGATTTCTTCCAACAACCAGTTCACCAAACTGCTCAGCCAAAGTTAACAACTGGTTCTCCCGAACTGGCACGAACTGGCTGAACCCCACCACTGCTTCCAACCCTGTTACTCTATGGTTATTGTGGGGAAACAGACGGGGTTTGGCCCAAATCCATCCAAGATTTGCCAGAGGGGTGTGTGCTTGGCCTACAAAATTCCCATCTCTTTCCTTGCAGCTGTGTGGAAAGTCGTCAAAAATTGAGGGGGGCCCCTCCCCCAAAGTTAGGCCAAGTTGTCCCGATCTGGCATCTCCCAAACTCCCACAATCTCTCAGCCAGGCTGGCTTCTGATTGCTAAGAATTGTGGGAGTCCCACTCCCCAAATCCAGAAGGTACCAGATAGGGAAATGCTGAGATGAGGATGGCACATCAATGTGAGCTGTGGCAAGAAGGTTTGCTGTGTCTGTCAGCGTAGTGTCCAGAGCACGGAGGCGCTACCAGGAGACAGGCCAGTACATCAGGAGACGTGGAGGAGGCCGTAGGAGGGCAGCAACCCAGCATCAGGACCGCTACCTCCGCCTTTGTGCAAGGAGGGACAGGAGGAGCACTTTCAGAGCCCTGCAAAATGACCTCCAGCGGGCCACAAATGTGCATGTGGCTGCTCAAACGGTCAGAAACAGACTCCATGAGGGTGGTATGAGGGCCCGATGTCCACAGGTGGGGGTTGTGCTTACAGCCCAACACCGTGCAGGACGTTTGGCATTTGCCAGAGAACACCAAGATTGGCAAATTCACCACTGGCGCCCTGTGCTCTTCTCAGATAAAAGCAGGTTCACACTGAGCACATGTGACAGACGTGACAGGGTCTGGAGACGCCGTGGAGAACGTTCTACTGTCTGCAATATCCTCCAGCATGACCGGTTTGGCAGTGGGTCAGTAATGGTGTGGGGTGGCATTTCTTTAGGGGGCCGCACAGCCCTCCATGTGCTCGCCAGAGGTAGCCTGACTGCCATCAGGTACCGAGATGAGATCCTCAGACCCCTTGTGAGACCATATGGTGGTGCGGTTGGCCCTGGGTTCCTCCTAATGCACGACAATGCTAGACCTCGTGTGGCTGGAGTGTGTCAGCAGTTCCTGCAAGACGAGGCATTGATGCTATGGACTGGCCCACCCGTTCCCCAGACCTGAATCCAATTGAGCACATCCGGGACATCATGTCTCGCTCCATCCACCGAGGTCACATTGCACCACAGACTGTCCAGGAGTTGGGGGATGCTTTAGTCCAGGTGTGGGAGGAGATCCCTCAGGAGACCATCCGCC